TAGATTTGTTAGAGAACTAGCTTCAAATCTATGATGAGCTTATACTTTTGAACAATAAAAATACCATATTCGGAATCAGAATCCAAAAATGAGTTGGCTGATGCGTATTTCTGTCCTATCCGACTACTTTAATTTTTTTCGAATTTTTATGTTGAAAAATTACCGAGGTTTTCACCGAAACTCAAAATCAACTAAACATTTCGAAATACACATCAGCCGACTCGTTTTTCGATTCTGATTTCGAGTATGGTATTTTTATTGCTCAAAAGTTGAGTTCTAGTTCAGAAAATTGGAAACTACTGGTAAACTTCTGACTTTTCCGTCTCTGATTTGGAAAAAATGACTTTTCTCAGCCAGGAAAGAAATTTCACGAAAAGCTCATCATAGATTTGAAGCTAGTTCTCTAACAAATCTATCCATGTGTGAATTTGGGCTCTATGATCCTCCGCAAAAAACCAGATAGGTTTTTGAGAAATGACCGCCGTTTTTGACTCATCGCAGTTCTGGAATTTTCTGCGGATAGGGTTTTGATTTTAGGACTTCGATAGTAACGTTTTCAGTTTCAGTTTCAACGCTGAATCCAAAAAACTTTGTTTCAAATCTTGAAAATGTAAGCGAGGAAAACAGCAGAGCTTTTTCAAGAAAGACCAGTTTTTCCGGTTTTGAATATGTTCTATTTTGAGAATATCTCAGCGAGAAAACGTTTTCCAGAGATCGGGACGCGATATTCGAACTCGATGCTTAATTCTCTATCGAATGATGTAAAAAAGCGATCACATTATCTTTTACTGTAACTCTGCCTTACGTGAATCTTACAATTTGGCTATTATTTTGAAAGCCAATGCAAAATTTTACATTAGAAACGAATTTAGGTGTCTAACCTTTTGGGCGAAATTAAACTTTTTACAATTTGAATTTCAAGATATGTTCTAACTGCTTATGTACTGTAATTTGCTGCTGGAGTGGTTTGAATTATAATTATACTAACTATAGATTCATTAAATTAAAGTAATGCGTTTTTACCTGGTATCAAATAAGTTTTTTAGAAAACAGTAAATCGTCACAAGACTCAACATGACGGATACCTGATGTTTCATGGGTTATTTCAAAATACTGCAACTCAAGAAACACGAATCCCGTTGCTACTGTGCTCAAACTAACATAGACTAATACTTCTTTTGATTTCATTTCGACTAAAAAGTTTTTATAGAAAAATCTCTCTTTATAAATAAAGTTTTTTAGAATAAAAAAGTCTGTCGTTGCTTGTAAAAACATACTCTTAACTGACGAATGTTTATTTGACATCTGTGTAAGTTATATAAAAAAAATGCACTTTGAAACTTACTGTGATAATTAAATTATAAATAGAATACTGCTGATATTTTCATATACATTCTTTTCTCAATTATAAATCAACAAGTAAACATAGGAGAAATCATAGAAAATTTTTATATATTTTAAACAATTGTTTTCTCATTCGTTTGATGCTTACTTCAAGCAACCGAAAAGTCATATAATAAGGTTGGATAATAATCATATCAGTTGACCAAAAACAATAAATCTTTCCATGCCATATTTGATTCATAAACGGTCAAATCTAGCAGCGTTAAATGATAAGTAAACTCTTACTATTAATCTTCCCAACGTTCATCTTAACCTCCCATTTCAATGGTGGAACGGTCACATGGGGTCCGGTGAATGCAACAGCAACGGGCAGTCCTATTCAAATCAGCATCACTCAGACATATTCGTGGACAGCGGGTTTGATTGATTGTTCAAATGCAATGATTGTCAATCATTCGTTAATAGATTATAACACATATACTTCATTGCCGGGACAAACATTAAGCTGTACCGGTACCTGCAACTTCGGAACATCAGGAAATGCTCGAGGGTACAACAACAGTACGCCAATCATACCCTATTGCACCGATACAAATCCCAAAATGGGTACAGTTATTGGTCAACGAACAGATATTGAAACATTATATGTAAATGATGATTTTACCGTTGCTTTTACTCCAACTGGATCACAAGCTTGGATTGGGCTACAGGGTGCAAGTGCATCTGCCAAATGGAGTATATCTACCGAAATTGATTTACATCTGAGGCCGGATGGGTATTATAATAGTGCGCCTATGGCAACAATGATGTCGCCTATTAATATTCCATTAAACCAGCTGCAAGTCATCAATATACCAGTATCAGATAATAATGACAATGATATTCTCAAGTGTCGTATAGCAGTTGGTTCAACAGAATGCGGCGACACTTGTCCACCTGGATCGTTACCAGCAAATGCGGTAGTATATCCAAACTGCACCATTACTATGACAGGAACCACAAATAATTATTACTACGCAGTAGCAATAATGGTAAGTGACAATATGTCTTTCACAGAGAATTTCAGTTTTACAGTACGGTGCAAAATTATAATCTCACCCAGTTTGGTATTAAAAAAAGGAGGAAGATCTTTTTTTTTCTATAATTATAAATAACAACATATTACATATCCACATGCAAAAGTTGGTGTCTAGCGCTTTTATTTTAAACAAATTATCAAAAATCATTAAAAAAAAGTGGTGCAAAATTATAAGCTCATTTTAATTTTTTTCAATTTAAAAAGTAAAAAAGCATTTTTAATTAGATTTTTTTATTTATTAATATTTTGTTTTCGCGTCATTAAGTCTTATAATTTCGAAAAGTCTATTTGGTATACTCGAAACTAAGTTTTTTATTTCAATAAGACTTATTTTCGACAATTCAGTTTTAATTGCTTTTTTTTCTGGCGAAAGTGAAGGCTACTCTAATAATTTAATTTTTTTGGCTCTAAACCATGGTAAATTACCCTTTGCTCGATGAATTGGGGCATTATCTTGCTGAAAAAGCCAAACACCTCCGTCAATCGTGGTGCCAATATTCACCAAATGATTTTCTAATACAAATTTTAAAACCAATGCGGCTATCATGTTAAGAATTTTTGATTAAAACTTTTTATTAAAATTCTTAACATGATAGCCCCATTGGTTTTAAAATTTTTATTCTTAACTTTACCCATAAACTCGAAAAACGTTATTTTCTAATACCTTTTGATACCCGTTTGCATTCAATCTGTTGTCAATAAAGCAATATCGTTTGTTCCATTGTGACCAAAGGCCGCCTATATCATCACATTACCACCACCCATATTTCTCCTAGCCGAAAATATTTTTTCTTTACGCAAATCGTGCCAATAGTAGTTAAAACCATCAGGTCCATCCAAATTAAACCTTTTTTCGTTCGACCAGACTACTTTTTCCTACTCGCGATTCCAAGTCATATGGTCTTTTGCCCATTTTAATCGTTTGGCCTTATGAACTTTGGTTAAAGGTGGAGATGATTTCTTTTTAGCAAATTTTAGAGTGTTCGAGCATCGAAGAACACGATTTACTGTCCATCTTGATGCTTTGATGCATAATTCGTCGATAATTTTATGGCACGATAAACTTTGGTTACTGGCTTTTTTTATAATTTCCCGTCTTAATCGATTATTTATCATCGGTTTTCTACCAGTTCGCTTTTTTATGTTGTATTTAGCCGGATTAGATAGATAATTGTTAAAAACACGGGGAGATCGCTTGATTTTTTCAGCAATTTTGCGATTTGAAAGCTTTTGTCGGTGCAACAAATCGATTTGGCCTTATTCTCGTTCGGAAAGAGCACAACCTTGGGGCATTTTTTTATCTATATAATTTAGACGACGAAGTATTTAAATAAAAAAAAAGTCAAAAAAAATTGTAAGTTTGTTAGCGTTTTAATCGAAACGGTTTCGATTAAAAATATATAATGAGGTTATAGTTAAGCATCATCGAATTTTTATTTTTTTAAAAATGTTCAAATTAAGAGGAAATTAAAACATATAAATTTAATAATTTTAATGTCGTGACATATCTAACTTAACATTCGAATATGAGCCCTTTTGCATTTTTCTTAATATAATTTATTGGTGAGGTTATAATTTTGCACCGCACTGTACACGGTCTCTCCAGAGCCAAAACCTACTTTAACCTACTTTATCTACTTTAATAACTGCAAATCGCTTGAGTAGGAATTTATGAGACATGATGAAGACAGATGTGTGACATGATGAGGATTAAGTATGTCACATCATCATTTGTGAACGTTCAGAAGATGCCACCGGGATAGGAAATACGATGTAGCTATTAGACGTTTCCAACTCTTTTCGTCACGTTCATATTCGAACTAGTTTCAAATTGAAGCAGCATATTCGACTAGGGTACTTCCATTCAGTTCCGCATAGTTCATACAAATCTTTCTTGCGGCATGGTGACAGGGGCGTACCGAAAGCTAAAAGATTAGGGGAACGAGTAAAGAATCTTTCGGTGCCAAAAAACGTTTTTTGAACAAATACACTGTATTTTGAAATTGAGAATTCGCTCTAAATTCAACGCCAAAATTCGGCTAAGGCAAAGAAAATTTTCTACTAGTCATATCGAATCGCTTCCTTAGGTCGCTTCGTCGGGCAACATCAGACGTGCGCGATTACAATTACAAAATGTAAAATTCAAACATTGCTATTATCTGTAGAATTAAAAATTCTAGAATTCTGAACTTTACATGTATTTAAAGTTGAACTTTACTTGTTCAGAATTCTAAAACTCTTAATTCTAGGGGTGAGTGTGAGGGTGAGCGTGAATATGCAACTTTACATGTATATATATTCAGAATTCTAGAATTCCGAATTCTACAAATAATAGCAATGTATGAACTTTACATTTTATAACTGTAATTGCGCAGCCCTCTCGTCTTCGACGAAAAACGTGTGATGAACATCAGTAGATAATAAGAGATAAATAAACGACAATAATAAGCGTTGCATTTATAACTGTAAGGAACAGAACAGGATTTGAATATGACAATGAAGCGTACATATTTTTGCGATTGAAAGATATTCTGATAGACAAACACATGAAAAGGGAACGTACTCTTTCATCGGGAATCCGAACCGAGTGACGTGGATCTTCTACACAGGTGCTCTACCTCTGTGCTGCGAAGCAAGATCTAACATTTACCCCCAATTCAAGTGGCTGATTTTTAAATATCAGAATACAGCTTTTATAACTGAACTTTTCTCATGTCCAGTTTCTAGTTCACTTTCTGTTTCTAAATGTACATCTCAACGTTAATTATAGGTCGAGGATTATTACGACAATTCGAGTACAACACCGATGAGCGCGACACCGGTCCAATTTCTTGTTCACGTAGTGAGCGCATCGTCGTGTTTAACCGGTCCAGTAGTAATTGGTGTTCCTGCTGAGCTATCATGTACTCCTGCACAAGTTGGAGTTCCAGTGGTTACACAAATAGTTGCAATAAATTATTGTCCTAGTAATACAAATATAACTGAAATATCAACCCTGTCAATCCCGGGTATGGGCAAAGGTAATCTGATCAGAAACAGTTCTTCAACCTATTACAGAACGATTACGTGGACGCCGACAACCGACCAGCTTGGGGCTCAAACCATATGCGCAATGGCCGTTGACACGTATGATTGACTAACTGCATTTATCTTATAAATCTCATTCTAATTCTTGACTATTCGTACTTTTAGTTTGGGTGATCAATCGGATCAATATTGTTTCACTTTTTACGTATTTTCTACCTATCAATGTGGCTGCCCAGGGACAGGCATAACATGTCCGACAACAACCACAACGAGTACAAGCAGTACAACATCCTCAACGTCCTCGTAAAACGATCTGATATTTGGATTTGAAACAAAATGTTTCATTTATTTTCTATTCAAGCACGGCAACAACGTCGACGAGTACAACGGCTAGTTCTAGTACTAGTTCAACTAGCACATCTTCTACGTGAGTATTTTTCATGATTGCACTGTTGAATGCAATGGTTCAATGTCAAGGGTTTTTAATTTCAGTTCAACTTCGTCAACATCATCATCTAGCACGTAAGTGATTTTGACTCATCTAAAACACAACATGACTACAATAACAGTTATCATTGCTCACAGAAGACCCAGTTTCGTTTCTATGAGCATATACTTGGCTACATTCACACAAATGAATCGAGGATGATGTGAAGAAGGATTATTCATTAAAATGTTCGCTCAGTAGACTGGAGTAGATGTTTATATCAGTTCAGATGAAACACCATTTTTTCATACCAAACTAACTGGAAGAAATCCAAAACTTTATTTTCAAATAATGTTTGGTTTTTTTTTGGCGACAACTCCAAAAGCCTTCACTCACACTGCCGGTTTTTGAATTTTGCAATAAACTGTAAGGAAGCATTTCAGTGAGGAAATCCCCAGTTATATGTGTCTAGTATCTCTGGTAAGAATTTCAACCCATACAGACAAACGGCGATGGAAGATAGTTGACAAGAATGAAAAGCCTAGTTTTTATAAAACCCTGCCTGACATAAGCTTTAAGTTCGGAGCTTCCAGCATCTGTGTTACATTAGTGAGGATAATTGTCGATAAAAATTTCACCGCATACCGACCATTGCCCCCATCGTATTTGAAAATGTCCAGATGAGATCGAGTATCTTTAACGCGCTTTGCCAGCAATTGACCCACTTAAGGTAAGGATAGTGTGTGGTATGCCTCTGGAAAGAAGAAGTTATGCTTTTAAGAGCTGATCCAGTAACAAATGCTTAGCAGTTGCAAGTTTCAAAAAGCGTCTGTAGAAGATCAGCGTACTTGCAAAAACACTTTATATGACTATTCTAATTGCTGATTTAATATAGAACATCAACAGATTCTACCACTTCAAGTTCAACGAGCACGTCGAGTACTACATCGACTGCAACATCGACGAGCACTTCCACGTCCACTTCAACGACATCAAGGTGAGTAGACATGCCCATCGGGTTGTCTGATTGAATACGACTTGCTCAATTTCTGTGTATTGATGGAAAGCCTTCCGAAAATTCCTTATCTATGCAACAGAATGAATTAATTGAAGCTCAAAGAAATATTTATTAATTTTATATTGTAACTTCAGCAAAAAACATGTAGTGAGAAAGTGATACACATTTATTAAATATTGCTAAACACAACTGTTTCTCGCGCGAAATGTGTGTTGGTAGCAGGGGCGCCCCGATACCTCGAAGGCAGGGGGGGGGCAAAGTCAATTTCGGAGTAAATTTTTATGCTTTTAAAAATTGGAGTAAAAATAAAAAAACAAAGATAAATATTCTAAGCAGTTTTCTTCTA